TTCCCTCTCTTTCCCCCTCTCTCCCCCGCACCCCGCCCCTGAATAAGCCAGCAAGATATGATTGTATCTGAGTGGTTGCTAATACTGTGATACTAAATGAAATTAAACTGACCATCATTTATCTAGGCGTCGCTTAAGAGCTCACTTTCTTTCAATCCTTACAGCACTCTTAAACGGTAGGGAAAACAGGTTCTGCCTTGATTGCTTGTAGGAGTTGGGGCACAAGCCTTGCTTGCCCTAGGGGAAAGGAAAGAGTTGGTGGTCTTACTTTTATCGCTGGGATCTAAAACCAAAACCCAGTAACATTTATGTAATCATTTCAATGTTTCTTTGTAACTATTACCGTTAATTCTTTCACACGTAACTACCTTTAGCCTGCTTTGGGAAAGCAGAGATTGGAAGGATTTGAGCAGTATTTCTCAGTGTGGTCCCCAGACCAGCAAGCTAGCATCACCTGGCTCTTACAAAAAAATGCAGTTTTGTTTTTTTTGAGACGGAGTCTCTGTCGCCTAGGCTGGAGTGCAGTGGCACGATCTCGGCTCACTGCAACCTCTGTCTCCCGGATTCAAGCGATTCGCCTGCCTCAGCCTCCCCAGTAGCTAGGATTGCAGACGTGTGTCACCACTCCCAGCTAATTTTTGTATTTTTAATACAGACGGGATTTCACCATGTTGGCAAGGCTGGCCTCGAACTCAGATGATCCGCCCGCCTCAGCCTTCCAGTGTTGGGATCACAGGCATCAGCCACCTCGCCTGGTGAAAAATGCATATTTTTATGCCCCACCTCAGATTTAACTAAATCAGAAACTGGGTTTAGAGCCCAGTTTTCTGTGTTAGCAAGGCTTGCAATCTGTGTTAACAATCTGATGCACCTAAAATTTGAGAACCACTGATCTAAAACGACTTTCTCCTCAGCCAATTTGTAGAAGTTGGGTAGAGAGGGTGAAGGAACAAGCTCCTCAGAAGAGAGAGGAGCAATCAAGAATTTGAGCAATCAAGGAAAAAAGCCAGGAAGGCAGTTTGTGGCTAAGAGGGGGAAGAGTCCTTGGAGCTGATTCCTACTCTGAGATTCCTAGATTAAAATGTATTCATTGTAAAGAAAAGATTGCTCGGCCAGGCATGGTGTCTCACGCCTGTAATCCCAGCACTTTGGGAGCAGAGGGGGGCGGATCACTGGATCAGGAGATCCAGACCATCCTGGCTAACACAGTGAAAACTCATCTCTACTAAAAATACAAAAATTAGCTGGGTGTGGTGCTCACCTGTAGTCCCAGCTACTTGGGAGGCTGAGACAGGAGAATCGCTTGAACCTGGGAATCAGAGGTTGCAGTGAGCTGAGATCGTGCCATTGCACTCCAGCCTGGGCGACAGAGAGAGACTCCGTCCAAAAAAATAAAAAGAATAGAGAAGATTGTTCAACTGCTAGTAATCCCAAATCCATATTTAATAATTTTTGTACTGTTCAGTGTATTTTTTTTTTTGCTAATATTCTTCTCTATAAGCAAAAACTTAAAAGTTTTTGTGTATAGAAAAGTTGATATTGTGAAATAGGCCAGGCATGGTGGCTCACACCTGTGATCCCAACACTTTGGGAGGCTGAGGTGGGCAAGTCACCTGAGGTCCGTAGTTTGCGACAAGCCTGGGCAACCTGACAAAACCCCATCTCTACTAAAAATACAACAAATTAGCTGAGCCATGGTGGCGCGCACCTGTAGTCCCAGCTACTCCAGAGGCTGAGGCAGGAGAATCGCTTGAACCTAGGAGGTGGAGGTTGCAGTGAGCCAAGATCACTCCACTGCACTGCACTCCAGCCTGGGCGACAGAGCAAGACTGTCAACAACAACAACAACAAAGGCTATTGTGAAATATATCTATTAAAAAAAGAATTTTAGATTTGAAAGAGAATGTAGGAACCTATGTTAAATGGTTTAAATAAGGGGAAAAAACATAGTTCCACAGAAACTGGATTTTTTTTTTAAAAAAAAGTGCTTAATTTGTAAGTCAATAAAAGATAAACAGCAGTAGCGTAGAGGTTAAGAAAAACAATTCTAGAACCAAGAGAATTTGAGTTTCTATCTGAGCCCTGCCACTTACTTAAAAAAGTATCAGGCCCATATTAAATAATCAATAAATGTTAGCTTTTCTGTTCTGAGACCAAGTGGTGAAAGTAGGCATCCTTGTCTTGTTCTGGTTCTCAAGGGGAATGCGTCTAGCTTTTATCCATTCAGTATGATGTTGTCTATGGGTTTGTCATAGATGGTTATTATTATTATTATTATTATTGAGACAGAGTCTTGCTCTGTTGACCAGGCTGGAGTGCAGTGGCATGATCTTCGCTCACTGCAACCTCTGTTTCCCATGTTGAAGCAATTCTCCTGCCTCAGCCTCCCAAGTAGCTGGGATTACAGGTGCACACCACCACACCCAGCTAATTTTTCTATTTTAGTAGAGACAGGGTTTCATCATTTTCACCAGGCTGGTCTCAAACTCCTGACCTCAAATGATCCTCCTGCCTTGGCCTCCCAAAGTGCTGGAATTACAGAATTGAGCCATGTGCCTGACCAAGGCCACCTTTTGATGGGCAGAGTGGCATGTGCCTGTAAGGAGGCAAGAAATTAATGGTGGCATTCTTGGAGACAGATCGCCATACTCAGTAAAGGTTCAATGGTTGCATGTCCCCACGATCCCCTTTGGTTACTAAACAAAAACAAACAAACAAAAAACCTGAATGTATAGAAAGGATGAGAGTAGCTCACGAAATCAAAAAGAAAGCTCTCAGAAAAGATAGGAACTAGAGAAGTTCTAGCTAGAAAGTACTAATGGACATGTTTTCAAGGTACAGCCACAGGATAAATCGACTTTATGTGTTTCTCATACTTTTGTCTTCCTGCTCAAATTCCAAGCTAAAAAAATGTTATGGCATAATTGAATCATGTGTTTGCACCTAGTCCAAGAGAGGACACGATCTCTGAACTCATACTCCCACTAAAACTGCATAAATTGGGAGAAGAAAATCGAGAAACTCTTTCCAAGAAAAGAAACATGGGCCAGGTACAGTGGCTCATGCCTGTAATCCCAACACTCCCAAAGCGGGTGGGTCACTTGAGGTCAGGAGTTCAAGACCAGCCTGTCCAGCATGGTGAAATCCCATCTCTACTAAAAATACAAAATTAGCCAGGCATGGTGGCATATTCCTGTAATCCCAGCTACTCTGGGGGCTGGGGCGGGAGAATTGCTTGAACCCTGGAGGTGGAGGTTGCAGTGAGCCGAGACTGCGCCATTGCACTCCAGCCTATGCAACACTCTAGGTGTCATGAGTGAAACTCCATCTAAAGAAAAAAGAAAGTCTCATTGATAGGCTGAGAACAAAAAAGAAAAAAGAAAGAAAGAAAGAAACATGGATGCCAGGCTGCAAAACAACAGATGCTCATTGTCCAGGATGCTTTAGGTATAACTTTACCTAAAATAAGAGGACCAGCCAGGGTTTCCCCCACTCCATATAATATCTTAAAAAAAAAAAAAAATCGGCCAGGCACGGTGGCTCACGCCTGTAATCCCAGCACTTTGGGAGGCTGAGGTGGGCAGATCACGAGGTCAGGAGATTGAGAACATCTGTTTAACATGGTCAAACTTCTTGTCTACTAAAAGAAAAAAAAAAAATTAGTCGGGCATGGTGGCACGTGCCTGGTAGTCCAGCAACTCGGGAGGCTAAGGCAGGAGAATCACTTGAACCCGGGAGGCAGAGGCTGCAGTGAGCCAAGATCGCACCACTGCACTCCAGGCTGGGCAACAGAGCAGATTCTGTCTCAAAAAAAAAAAAAAAATTGCCTATATGCTACGTTATCTATGTCGGTGAATGATAAAGTTTCACCAAACTTAAAAATATATTATTTGTTTGGAATTATTAATCATTGTTATTTTATATAGTTTAGAACTAACGGCTGGGTGCAATGGCTTGAACCTGTAATCCCAGCACTTCAGGAGGCTGAGGTGGGCACGTCACGTGAGGTCGGGAGTTCGAGACCAGTCTGACCAACATGGAGAAACCCCATCTCTACTAAAAATACAAAATTAGCCCCGTGTGGTGGCACATGCCTAACCCCAGCTATTCAGGAGGCTCAGGCAGAAGAATCACTAGAACCCAGGAGGCAGAAGTTGTGGTGAGCCAAGATCATGCCATTGCACTCCAGCCTGGGCAACGAGAGCAAAACTCCTGTCTCAAAAACAAAACAAAAAAAAGAACTAACAATATTTCTCTGTCCTTTATGATCTTGGTGAAAAAGAGTACTTAGGAAAAAATGTATTTAGCTTCTATTTCTATTTTTTTTTTTTTTTTTTGAGACGGAGTTTTGCTCTTGTTACCCAGGCTGGAGTGCAATGGCGCGATCTCGGCTCACCGCAACCTCCGCCTCCTGGGTTCAGGCAATTCTCCTGCCTCAGCCTCCTG